TTTTTTTTTTGTTCTGAATATTTGAGTTTATCATTTAATTTTCACTAGAAATGTTTCAGTCACTGTTAAATGCTTGATTTTAATTTATGAAAATAAACTTTGAGCCGCTGAGCATGAGCTAGATTATTGTAAAAATTAGTCATTTGTATCGTCTATATACTTTTGTATTTGTATTTGAGTGTATGTTTATTGTTTTGGTTTGCAATGCACATTTTTGGAATCGGTAGAAACCGGATGCCAGCTTATTAAAATAATTTTGCTTTGAGCTGCAGCAACTACAATGAATTTTGTTTTTGTCTACATATGTCACTGCCATTAAGATTTACATTTAGTATTCGCATTTTGTCATTTAAGGAACTAGTTATTATGTACTAATTTATATATGTATATTTTTGTTATCTTATTCGATTGCCAATCTAATTGTTTTAGTCGAATTTTCTTTAAATTTTTTTACCACATTTTAAATTCCTATTTTTTTATCATTTTTCAAAGGAAAATACCAATAAGTTGCATGATATACTTAAGTCTGCGAATTACGTATCAGTTTGCTCATTAATATTATGTTTTTTTTTTGTATTTTTTTTAAATATAAAACACATTGAAATAGTTTACTAAATACTAAATGAAGTTTAATTGTAAATGTAACAATAAAAAAATTATACTACAAAGAATAATCATAAATGATATCAATATGGCCAATATGGATGTTAATTCTTTTTTGCCTTTGACATAATTTTCTTTTAGCTTAAATCAATTTTTCCGTTTCGGTTATTTCATAATTATTATTTTTTTTTTTAATCTTTCACAGTGACTATGTTTTATTCTGTGGAATACAACCATTTAAACAACAATAAACAATGAAAACATTTCTGTTTTACTTTTTGGTATAACATTTAAATAAAATTCCATTCACATTGCACAAAACTTATATTGATATGGACATAAAACCAAAATAAAAATAAAATGGAAATAAATACGAAGAAAATAATTGAACACATGAACGAAAACAAATGTACTAGATAAAATCAATTGAAATTGTGGTCAATCGTAAATTAATCCTCATCATCATTGAGCCCACATAATTCGATGCTCTGATCTTCAAGATTACGCTTCAAATCTTCAATTGTGTTTAGGATTAATTGTCGTTTATTTAACATAGCCAAATCATTTTCGCTGGCATTTGCACTGCTGCCGCTGAGTGTGCCATTTGATTGATTGGCATTGCATTCGAAACTCTGTGCGGTTTTAAGTGTATGTTGTTGTTGCTGTTGTTGACGTCCACGTCGTAGATTCGAAATCTTTTGCAATAATGCTTTCTTCGGAATTTCTGTGAATAGTGAAATTGTAAATGATAAAAACAAATCCATGTTTGAATAAATTCGAATGAGAAAAGAAAAACCTCCAAGAACACAAAACTAAATACCTGATTCCATGTCCAAGCTCTTTTGCAATCGATCAAGTGTTTTCTCCGAATAGATTTTTCGCTTAAGTGGTTCACTTTGTGGGCAATAAAATGTTTCAGTTAAGCGATGTGCCATGTCAATCGAACGGAATGGACGATGGTCGGTGGTGTCAAGTGCGTCCACTTCAGACGGTGCTATTGTATTTTGATTGAGAATATCATCGTTTGCGGTAATCGATTGTCGGCTTTTGCGCCATGAATTTCTTAATTTGTTCTCCTTATTTCGATTTAATTCAATACGTTTTGATGGGGCAGCCGGTTTTCTTTGCACTACAGTATTTGGTGCATTTCCATTCAATGTGTCACTATCCGAATCGGATTCAATGCAAATCCGTGGACTTTGACTTCGAAAACGTCGTCGTGGCATTGGTGATTTTGGTGGTGTTATTTTCATGCGATTATTAACGGTATTAAATTGTAAACATGGTGAACGCTTCATTTTCGTTTCATATGCGTCCAACGATGATGTTGTCGACGATTGATGATTTTCGGTTACATTTTGACGGCGCAACAATTCGACGCCAGTTATATTTTGATTTATGAAATTCGTTAAATGTGTTTTGCGTGGACTAAAACGACCACCATTGCCATTTGTATGTTTTACTTTAACCGGACTACTTGGTGCAACTGGTGTTTCAAATGAATCCTTTCGATTGATCACATTTTCTTCATTGGTGGGCTTTGATTGTGTTTTCAAGAGTTCGCGACGTAAATCGGCCTCACAATTTCGTAGCATTTCAACACGTTTATTGGCTGGAACACTGCATACACGGCGACTTGGACTTGGTACTGGTGTTTCTCTGCATATTCACAAATTAACGAAAATAAAAGTCATAAAGGTGTTTATGTTTATCGATTTTATCGTATACGTACCTCACAGTGGTCGTTTTCATCGATACAAGTATTGTTTCGGCCTCATGAATGAGTTGTTTATATTTGACATCGGCTTCAATGTCGGCTTTAAGCAATGCCTTTTCACTTTCGGCTATAGCCAAAAATCGACTACGAATGGAATGGATTTCAGTAAATGTAAGTGAATTACATCGACTAGACAATGGAACCATTTTGGATGTGCTAAGGATGAATACAGGTAATGTGCAAGAATTGGTTTTGTGTTAAAAAAAATGTTTGTCTAAATGAAGCTACGTGTTTTTATTTTTGTGTGAAAAATGTGACCAAACACATAAAATTGTATGTAACCATACCTTTGATAATGATGTTCGGATTTGTTGCGTCGCAAAGAGACAGGTGTACCGCCAACACTTCGTGATTCTCTGAATCGATGTGGTGAACGATTTTTATGACTCGTTTGGCTGCTATCACGGCATTCACTATTTCGTTTACGTGTTCGTGTTAAACGTTTTCGGCGTCTTGATCCATTGCTTTCTTCACTCTGTTGTTTCCGGCTTTTTCTTAATTTATTTTGACGCTTGTCAATTGCTTGATTATTGTGAAAATACGTACAACTTCCCGTATTTTTATAAATATCTTTATCGGTAACTTCCTGTATCGATCCGGTGTCAATGAAATCAATATCGAGTAATTCATCAGTTTCGCATTCATCACCGCCATCTTGTCCAGTATCCAAATCGGATCCGCATTCAGTTTGATCAGAGTCATCGCTCAGAATGTCCGTTTCTTTTTCATAAATATAGCTCTCATCGAATTTACCCATCAGTTCATTGAATGTGGCATCCTCATCATCGCTATCACAACCGTTCGATGCCCGATTGCTCAATCGTTCCGATAATTGTTTATCTTGTTTACGTTTGCGAATCGTGTTCGGTGAAAATGATTTTCGGCTCACCTCAATTTCAGTTGACGAACTACTCTCAGACTCCGATGATATATGGTTTTTACTTTTGAATGGGGTATGACAAACAACGAGAAAAGAAACTCCAATTTATTAATTTGTTTGGATTTAAGATTAAGATGGGCAACGGAGCGAGGGTGTTTGAGAAAAAAAAATTCGTGTTACCTTTTTTTGTCATCGGTTCCTGCATCGCTGCTTGATTTAATGCCTGACGACGTGGAACTTGTATCGATATCCATTTTCTTCATAATCGAATTGCCATTTCCCACAGCGGATGTTGTTTCGGGCGTTGAAAGCCACGGATTAGTCTTAATCCGGCAACGTTGCCGTGGTGATGGTGCTGTAAATGCACGTCGAAAAGAAGACGGTTATACGATTACGCGAAAAGAAAGAAAGAAAAACAAAAAAATTGAATTGTTATGACTGTCACCATTTATGAATGGCAAAATATTGATAGATTTACATTCAAATCCTCGATAAGATTGGTAAGCCAAGTGTCGTTGCAGATCGGGGCTCAGGCGGCTCTGTGTATTTCCTTGTAGTAAATTGCTCACTTCTTTCGAAACAATGGGTGCTGCAATCCCATTACAGTTGCTAATACTGTTGCTATTAGTGTTGCTAAAAATATTATTCGCTGCATGACGACGATGGCTCAAATCACAGGATTCCGTTCGGCGATGATTATTGGTGGCAGCATTGCTTGCAACATTCGTAATTGATGTGGTGCACATCGTTTCGCCAACTGTTTCTTCAATTTTATTCAGTCCAAATTTTTGACGACTACGTTCGACAGCCGCAACGGCATTCACACCTCTTGGGAAATAATGTGTGCCGGTTCGCATATTGATATAATATTCGGGCGCATTTGTAGTACCTATTCGATAGATTTTCGAAAATCAAAGACACTGATTATTATTGATCTTAACGTGTACCGAATATTGTATTCAAGAAATACACGCTGAATTAATCAAAATTCATGAGCAATCAACGAAAATGCCACAATTCTCCAACGATTCAAGAGTCTTGAGCCCTAACTTCAGCCTCTATTCAATCGGATCAATTTTGATTCGATCAGATAGTATTCATTCATACATTACGATATGTTGCGTTTCTCTATCATCCCCTTCCCCCCTTCAATCCTGTGTCTTCTTTTTCTCCGGCTAATAAAATGGGTTGTGTCGAGCTGTTGAGCCCCAGCAAACACACTACATGCATTCGAGTATCAGTGCAGTCGGAGATTTATTACCCTACTTACATTGCTATTTATCTTCACTGCGGTGGTCCTCAGCGTTTTCGAAATTCAGTATTACCAATGGACCGTTTGTGTTCGTTTGCCATTTATTTATATTTTAATATATGCTCGCTGTATGCATATCTAATCTACAAAAACCGCGTGGTTTCTCATACATGCAGCGTGAATCGTGCAATCAGCAGAAGAGGAGCAAGAACAAGCGGTGAACATTTTATTATATAAACGTGTGTAGAACATGGTACATTCGATTCCCGTATGCAACTGAAGAATCTAACTGAAAAACAATGAACGAAAACCGCTTTTTTCTTGCTCGGTTAACATTGAACGAGTGCGCGAGTTTTTAAACATGTGAAATGGGTTTGCTGATAATTCGCGCCAAAAATAAATTACGCAATTAAACTCATACAATGATTTACATGAGAGCTTTTAATTAACGAATTAAATTATGGTCCACAATAGAACTTCTATTATAGAAGTACACAACGTCACATACACGATGTGGTTAATTAAACATCACCAAGTGCTCGATTTCTTTTATCTATTCTTTGTTTTTACTTAAATGATATAGTAATTTAAAAAGAAAAATCGTTTTGTTTTGAGAGGGAAAAAATGATTGCGTGGTTTCTATTGTACAAACATGTTTTTTTTCTATTTAAATGGAAAGTACTCAAAGTGTGATAATTTTTGATAATGAGTGCACACAACACAAACAAACGAACGTATGTAATGTGGTTTGAAGCGTACTTCAAGAGCATTTCATTTGAAGATGATTTTCCCCTTAGCGAACGCACACCCCTTTGTAAAACAACAACGTTTTCTTTTCAATACACATGAGTTTTTCATATCGTTGAATTTAATTAACCCACAAGCTCTTCTTCACGCATATTAAATTTCAAACTCTTGGAAGAATACATATATGTTGTTTGGAATGTGGCGATACAATTGCACGAAAATGTCAGTGGAACAATCAAAATATTCCGCGTTCCTATTTTATCGTTGTCACATCGTCTCTCCAGACGTCACTTTAATCATATTCATATTCGAATTTGTGGTTTCCTATGATCTTTTATTCGTATTGAACGTGCCGTATGCATACGGTATAATTTTGTCATTGCCTAAAATTCGGTTCAATTCTATACCGACTCTCACATTCTTATTTAGTTCACAATCCACGTAAATGGTAAAGTGGAAGGGAACTGTGTGTGTAGCACACATTGAAATGATATGCATACTCCGATGTATGGTGCGGCAAGTGCGATGAAGGATGATTAAATCACGGCAATCCAGAAAAAGAAGAACCAGACAAAAATCGGTAAGTGATGATGAGAAAAAAAAAACACACACACATACACACTTATGTATAATCTTTAATGTATGTGGGTGAGCGAATGGTGGAAAGGATTAAAGCCACTTGAAAAAGTCATATTCATGATTTGCACGAATAGCGACGATGATGTTCGCGAGATTTGTTTTTTCATTCGTATTTTCTATTGGGCCGAGAAAGGGATATCTTTATTATGCACCAAATGTGGTTGACGCTTTGAAATGTAAATTAAAATGAAGGTTGACATTGAAAATTTCGTTTGGATTTGTGAAGTGATCTAAATCTTATATGTTAACAGGGTACACCGTGATTCTATATACCCAGATATAAGATACGTGACATTGTTAAAAAGCCATTTTCTTTACATCATCGTTATTTTTCGTGTCTTTTTCTTTTTGCATCGAACGAACGAGACAAATCTAGTTCAATAGAGGTAGTTAGGCGAGAGCATATTACAGATTAATTTCTATGTCAAATCATCGAATGTACAGAGTCTATCATCTATTTATTTATTGCGTTTTTAAAATCAGATCACGTTTTCAGGCGATTTCGTGCCGCATGAATGCACAAAAATGAAATAAAAAAAATGTCGTATGAAATAATAATAAATGAGTCAAGGAAAAAAAGTCATAATAAAAAAAAATATTGAATCTAATTAAACCCGTTCAAATAAGAGAGGAAAAAAATCCCTGCATTGAATATTAGAATCGTGATTCCTATTCAGGTCGTGCAATACGGCCGATTAATATTTCGTTGCCATGCCCATTTTTTTCTCTCTTTTTCTCTTCATTTGGCTGCTAGTAATGAACGATAAATTGAATGTGCAAATTCATTGGATGGGTAAGCTTCTTTACCTGATGGTGATGTGCCATCCGTTGAGTAACCCGTGGAATATGCACTTTCCGGTGATGACAAACTATTTATGACATGAGCCAATTGATGATTGCTTGGTGTTGGCGTTAAATGCGTCGCACCAATTCCATTACTATGATGATAAACGTTATTTGTTCTGGCTTGCGCTTGTTTGCATTTCGTTCTCGATTGCACCATTTCCTTGTGTTGATTGTGCAGATTTATTTCATCGATGCCATTACCATGCAAGTTTGTTGATTGTTTATTCAGCGCTGATGATGTGACCGATGCGTGTGAACATCCATTTGAATAAAATTCAAAACCATTTGCATTGTTGTTGTTATTATTGGTCGAGCCCATCTGTATGAAAAGAAGAAATGAATACACATTTAAACATATCCGCTGCCAGCATCAAATCTATTTTCGTTCAAACGGAATAAATAAAAGAAGATGTATCGCATGCGTTGCACAATTTTACCTCGTTGTTGTTGTTAACATTGCCGTTACCGTTGAAACGATGTTGATTGTTGAAATGCACTCCCGTCTGATACTCTTGATAAAATTTATTCGACGACTCGTGATAGTCTTTAATTTTTGCATTTAGTGGTGGCGGCGGTGTCGATGGTGGTGAGGGTAACATTGGAATCGGTCTAGAACCATTTCGATGATCTTTTGACGTCAATTTTTGAGCGCGATTACAGTTTAGTATTTTTCCATATTGATTAACTTTTTTTGAGCTCCTGTGATGCATACGATCATCGGTCGGTGACTCGCATTCATTATTGTTCGCTAGTTGTTGTTTCGCTTTCATTTGAAAACCATTTTGCTGATGATAGATGATTGGAATTTGATGTTCGGATTTGGCGCTGCCATCACTACTGCTGTGCATTGTATCGGTTTTTTGTCGGTCTGACGTTGAAAAATAATGCTGGCGATGCAACTCATCATCTACCGTACATTGGTATTGCTGCTGTTGATTATCATAAAAGCTCATCTGACTTCCATTCCGATAATCCAAATGGTTGCTGTGATAGTTCTGTATCATTGATGATTGTTGATGATTATTCGTTTTGTCAGAGTTCGACATTTTTGTCGATGCATGTTTGTTAATGTCGATGGTTTTCTAAGCAACAAAAGAGAGAAAAAAAAACATACACAAAATAAAATCACAAGTGTGTGAGAATCAAATCAAGCGAAACATCAGCAATGATTCATTGAATTGAGTAGTTTTATACAATTTTTTATTTTGGTCTCATCTACTTTATGTAGATCCCTCTTTCCAAACTGAAACTTTTATTTACCTGCTTTTGTTGTGCACTTGTGGCGTTAGCTCCATTTAGCGTAATCACAACCATTTGATTATTTTCACCATCGTCAGCACAAGTTGCGCCATTTGCCACAGCATTTGTACTGAAATTTTTCTCATATTTACCAAAAGTATTTTGCTGTTTCGATTCTGATTGTGGTTGCGTTTGTTGTTCAAACATTTCGTGTGATTCGTACGTTGGATGTTGATAACGGTATTTATTTAGTCGCGACGCTGTTCCAAAGCTTGTCGTATTGTTGGCCGATGCTGAAGCGCTCACTGCTCTCAGTACAGCTGAATTATCTCTCGGCGATAGTTTTGAATTATTGTAGTCGAATGCTCGTGCAAAATATTTAGCGTCAACACTTTTTGAGTATGGCGCATTTGTTGAAGTATTCGACGATTTTTCATGCGAATTGCCGCTACTTCGATTGATCGTTTTTGAGTTCATTGGACGTACTTTTGGTGAATACGTCGACGTTTTTACCATGTACGGTAAACTTTGATCAATTTTGCAAAACTCTTCATCTTGTGGTGAATGCCATCCAAAACGACTGGTTGTCTACAATAACAGCATTTTGAGGAAAAACAAACACATTTGTTAGTGAAAATATTTAGATTCTTTTTATGGTTGAACATTGTTTCAATGGTCTATAATTGTGCACATTTTCAACCATGAGCGAATGAAAACCAAAAAATAAACACGAAAAATGAATGGAAATGGAAATAGATTTTGAAAAATTGTATCTGGCATTTGTTCTACTTTTTACTCGGGTAATTTACCACAGATGTCAAAACAGCTCCAAAAACATGTAAAATGTTTTAGAACAAAATATAAATATTCATTTGTATTTTAAGTCTTTCAAATTGAACTAATTCTGGTATAACTAAACACGTATAATCCTTTACTCTCTCTCACACACACAGGCACACACATCTAATACCTCTAAAGAGTTAAAATGGAATCAGCCAAGCACAACTTTACGAACATGGTCAACATCATTGCAAATGTTTTCGGATAAAAAGTTTACACTCAGACATTACAAATAATCAGATCATTTACGATTTTCTTGTTTGCGTTTAAATTGAATCATTGCCATTAGTTGTGAATTTTTTGCCGAAAAAACAACTTATCGTTATTTGTCTTCTTCACACATACACTAAATATTGCTGTCAAATTGACATCTTCTTCGACACTGCCATCAAGTTTAAGTTCGATGAATATTCGTTGATATGAACTTGCTCGATTTGAGTGCTCTTCAAAGCTGATGATACAATTGCTGTGCTCTGTGCACACTCCCTCATTGTTAATATGCAAGAATATTTTATTGAAATAATTGTGTGGCAAAAAAATAAAAAAAAGAAATATAGATCTGTTTGTTGAGTGTGTACGGAGAAACCGACATGACAAACAAAGGCAATGTACATTTTGCAATGAAAATGTGCATCTTTTGCAGATGTGCTGTGTATATTTGAACGGGGTCCCATTTCGGTGGAACGCTTTTGAAAAAGTTGAAACTATGGATCGAAAATTTATGAGCAAAGAAAAGTTCAAGTGCACATGTATTCGATTTAACAAGCATACTGCCAGCCATTTGCCACAGTGCATTCACACTGAACATCGCATAAAACACCACCGAACAACAATAAACCGACGGAAACAAAGAAAATAATTCGAAGATTCATTTGAATCTTAAATGCGGGAACACACAAATGTCGACCAAAGCAAACAAAACTTAACAAAAGTGCACATAACACAGAAGGATAGGGGAAAAAAACCAAAACAAATGAATACAAATGTAATTTACATTTCAAACACAGTGCAAAAAAAACCGCATAGAAAACAAACGAACAAAATGTGCGAACACAAAGCGCTATCAGTGAAATAAATGAAGAAACAAAACGAATGCAACATCTGAAACGATGGCTTTCAAAGCTGTTCGCAAAGCGCAAACATGATGCAACAAAAAAAAAGAGGAGAATGTATATACCCCGGCCGATCAATTATATACGCTGTGCGAATGCTTCACCCTCGAAGGCAAAATTTCATTTATGATGCATAATCGGAACGTCAACATTGTGTTCATTCTACTCGATGCCATTTTCTATAAAATCATATTTGAATCTCTTGAAAAAGAAAAATCGCACGAAATTGCAATAGAATTCGTTTTAATTACGATGGACACGCATTAAAAACTTGGCATGCCGCTTCAGTGTATGGCATCCATAAAAATGATAATGTTAACATTAAGTGGTTATATTGACACAAGCAATGAAAGCAATATGCACTTCAAAATTCGAACAGTTCATCGTATTCAACATTCGACCGATGTGTCTGATGCATAAAACCCAAAAATGCAAATCATATTGTATGAAGCGCTGCGTGGTGTTTTCATAGTGCAATTTAAACTGACAGAAAAGATAAACAAAACATAAAAGTGTTTTTTTTTAGAGTGAGAGATGGTCAGTTGAATTGTGAGAACCACAATGTAGTCGATTCAGTAAAGAGCCAGACCATATATAAAGACAAAGAGGAAGAGAAAGAGAGAGAGAGAGGACATAGAGAAAAATGAACGAGTTTGTATTTTTGTTCAATTAAGTTGGTGTTTCGCATTATTCTTTACACTTTGCTAACGAACAGGCTCCATTAAAACGAGACAATGTCCTGCGTTTTGTTTCATATTTTATTTGTTGTTTTATAGAAATGTTAGTTCCATTTGGGTGTCCATTGCTTTCTCTGGTCATCGTTTCGGTGTTGTTGTTTTTTTTACGCTTGTAAGTTGTGTTAAAATCAACTTTTTGCGGAAAGCTTATCACATTTGTATGAGTGGCATATAAAGTTATGGTAAACTCATCTTACTACTTTCGGTTTTCCATCGTATCAATCGGTGAAAAATATTTTTGAACAAACAGTAGAAACACATTTGTGAATCGTGAAACTTGAGATTTCACTTCGTATCAACTTTAACTTTTCCACTCCACAATAATGAGACAATTGTGTGGTAAATAAAATAACCGAGTGGAGATTCTCGATATATCAGAAACAAACATAATCCGAAGATTGTCAAGTGCATTATGAGAAAATCAATATGATTTCGATAGACACAAAGAAAAAAAAGACTATATATATGGAAAGAGCCATGAATGTATGAGACATGAACATTACGATGTGTAACTGCATCGCATCACACTCGAAATAATCAAGGGAAATACTAAAAATCACAAGTCAAAGTCATCAAAATGAAATGGCACCACAAAAGAAGATGAAAAAAAAAGTCACAATTCTACCGAACAGTATTTCGTGTATTTATTTTTGGGTATTTGCTTTTAAACATTTTTGCTCTACACTTTTTTAACTCCATTTTTTTTACTGTTAGTTCGAAGTGGAAGTGTACATTTGTATTTCGTGTGCAGTGCATTTTCTAGTATATATTGTCAGTTAGCCAAATGCTTAGCAATTTAAAAGCTCTCTCGCTTGGAAAAGCGAGAACACGAAAAATGCAAACAAAAGCCAACCGAACAATAAAAAGAGATCGATTGAGACAGGATGAAAGAGTGAGGTATAAAATAGCAAAGTAGCCGAAAATCCAAATGAACCAGAGGTTTTGCCATTGACGTTCGTTTCAAATGATGGTGACGATTGTAACGGCAAAATATCATTGACATAGACAGCAGACAGACTCTAATGCACTCGTATGGAGCGGCAGACAGAGAAAGATACAAATCGAAAAAAGAAATTTACTTCGCTTTCGCGTGCAGTACTCGTTTTCATTCGATGCGTTGTTATAGTTATTCTTTGGCATTCGAGCGAAATAAAATGTAAGAGATGCGCGTGATAAAACAAAAAAAAAAATACATTCTGAACTGTTAAAATTTCAGTTGTAGTTACGATTGTGGGAGAGTTCTTTTTGTTTCACATATTTATTTAAACAGAAAAAAGGCAGTAAATTCCATGGTTGTGAAAACGAAGAACGAAAAAAACACTCCACACACACACATCTATATATAAAACGCAACCCCGCAACTATTTTATAACTTTTATAATATTGTGGAAAACTTACTCGCCATTGTGAGCAATAATAATGAAAAATAACGTCTATATATCATTTAGGCGAATAGACAAAGCGAATAAAAATGGAAAAAGGTAAAGATAGAAGATGAATCGAGATTACCGCTGCCAAACCACCGTTGCTGCCACAATATTATAAGATAAATGTACGCGTTGCTTCGAATATCGAAGCTATTATGAGCAACTTTTTGTGGCAACTACGGCAAAAGTACAAAATAAATTTCGTTATACTCCGACCCTTTCTCGTTGATTGCCGATTTAAAAATGGAAAGAAGCTTGAAAAGTGCTACAACAAGATGAAGTGAACGCGAAAAAAAAACGAACAAGATGAAAGTATAAGTTTTATTTAAGAATTCTTTTTTTTGTTTGTTACTCTTGTTTGCTTTTCCAATACATTCTATTCCGCATCGAGTGAAGTGTGTGTGTGTTCGATTTTGGTATGCATTGTTTTATTTTTCAATTGTTATTGTTGTTGCTTTTTTTATGTTCAGTCTCGGTGAATCTGTCTTTCTTTTTCTTCGTGTCGATCAAACTTCCTCATCATTGCATGAAAAAAGAAGCCCCTTCCCATTTGTATCCCGTTCCTGAACATTGTTTAAGACATTCCGTGTATATTCGATGTGGTTCTTTTTTGTGTGTGTCTAAAAAGATGCCAGATCTTTTTTAGCTCGATTTTGTATTTTAACTCGTCTCATTTTCAGTGCACATCTAGATTTATTACAACAGTCTGGATTTCTTTTCACAGTTATGCCGAGCGCTTTTTTTTTATAAGTTCACCCAGTAAAAATGCTTGCCTTTTAGCATTTTCTTTATGAATCACTATTTTTACTATTGTGGGCTCTTTATGTATACATCTGTGAAAAATGTTTGTTGCTCACATTTGTCGTTGGCCGCCAACATTTTCATTGTCAATGCGAATGAAAGGAAGAAAGGATCACTGAAAGTCTGCTTTGAAAGAACAAAAAATTCATAGTATGTATCATTTCTTGCGATTTCATATTAATTTCTATTCCTTACTAAAAAAAAAATACATACATAAAAGGTATGTATTTTCTCCGTTTTAACGGTGCTTTCATAATGGTGTTTGCGTTCATATTTTTTTTATGTTAGCTTGATAAGCGAACAAAATCTACGTTTCAATGGATTGGAGCCAAAGCAAATGCTTAATGGTAATTGGATGCCAGTAATGGCCATCGCCAACAACAATCACAATAAATGATAAAGCAATACAAATTATGGCACAATGTTTCGCTATGTAGTATGCAAGTATCTCGTCTCCAAATGCAAAGTGCATTGTAACGCATTATGGGAATGGTTTTATGGTCAAAACAAAAGTAGCCTATTAGTATGTCTGTACCGGTTATTGCAAGTTATTAATAGCTAATTTTAGTTTTGCGTTCTTCCTGCGATACACATAGACAAAGTGCATTGGAGAGAAATGTTGTGTATATGTATTTTCGCCCTCTTTTCAAACCGATACAACCGAACGCAATCATCTTTGTGTTGCAATAACCCGACCTCGTTCTCCGGCTTGGTGGTGCATTATTTTTCGAGAAAAATAGCAGGAAATCTGTAGTTCACAACAGCAACTCAAATTAAGTTAAGAAAGAAGTTTACTGACTTTGTCATTCGCCATTCGCTACCGATTTAATGGTCTAGTGGAGTAATTGAATATACTGAGTGGAAGTTTTAAGAGTTTTCTCTTCGTTCACAATTTTCTTTTAACTATTTAGTTTTACCAAAAATGCCTCTTTATTGATTGTTTGCATGGCCATTAACGGGAAAGAGAGAGAGAGAGAGAGAG